TCTCCTCTCAGCCTGACGTGGTCTCTCCGTTCTTTAATGTTTCCCATGAGTATTTGTGGAGTCGGGGTTGAGGCCCCCAAGCCTCCTCCCAGGCTGAGGCTGCCTTCAGAGGAGAACCCCGTGCGGCCCTGACCCGTCTTGCCGAGACCAGGCGCTCTGAGAAGGCGGCATGACCACGCAGTCCGGCACGCCCAGGCCAGGACAGCCCCTGCTGACTGCCAGAAAGCCTTGGGAGGCAGCCAGGGTGCCGGCCCCCACCGTGGGGGCAGACGACAGGACAAGGCTCAGAGACAGGACAGGGTCGCCCAGCTGCTGAGTGGCCCCTGGAACTGAGCCCTCAGGGCCCCGCCGGTGCCTTCCCACTGGACAGGGTGTGCCCATGCTGGCCTCTCCCGCCCCTGCCCTGGAGCGAGCCACTTAGCTCTGCAGCTTTGGGAATGTCGGTTCTGAGACTCAGTTGTCCCATCCTCAAAGTGGGTCAGCACCTTCCCAAGTCACGGCAAGGACTGACGGCGTGTGGACCGGACCCCAGCGCGTCCCACTCCTTCCAAGAGGGCCGGGGTGGGGGACCCGCCTTCTGTCCCCAGGGGCTCACTCCTGTCCTCACTCAGTCCCCGCCCTGCAGCAGGGAGGCGTCTCGGGCCTCTCAAATGGGGGGACGTGGTCCACTGGACGTGGTCAAGACGGTCCGACAGCCGCCGCGTCCTCACGTCTGCTGGGGCCCTGGGGGCTCCTGTGCTCACTGCTGCGGCCCCTGGGTCCAACCAAGAGATGAGGAGCCTCCGGGAGACCCAGGGCCTTCGGAGCACTGCACCGTGCTTCAGCCGGGACAAGGCTAGAGGCCCCCGAGGGCAGGCCCGCAGTTCTGTGGAGCCACGAGCCCCTGCACTCTGAAGTGGCTGGTCCCAGGGCCCACTTGGGGGCCCCACCGTCGGGTGCTGGACCATGGCTGCCACCCCCTCGCAGCCCTTCCCTCCTCCTCAGAGCAAGGACTGCCCCACCCTCGGAGACCTCAAGCCCGTACCCAGAGCCTTGGGAGACCCCTCCCCACTGCCCAATGCACCCAGAGGTGCTCCACCACCGAGCCACATCCCCGGCCCTTTTCACTTTTTATTTTGAGTCACTTAGGGCCTCGACAAGTTGCCGAGGCTGGCCTTGAACTCATGATCCTCCTGCCTCAGCCTCCTGAGCCACTGGGATTGCAGGCGTGCACCAGCGTGCCTGTGAGTTTTTGGTCACAGAGAGGACTTGACAAGGGTTTGTTTTAAAACCATAGGAGGTCAGCAAATTGGGCTGTCCCAGCTCCAAGGTGACAAGACACCAGGAGCTGTGGCTTGGGGTCTTGAGTCTCATCTGTCCAAAATAAATGACATTAAAAACTGTCTTCCCTCCGTGTCTGAGGACATTGGGCCTGAACCCCCGCAGGTGCCTAATTCCATGGATGCTCAAGCCCTGATAGAAAATGGCCTGGTGTATGAGGGAGCCCACGGCCACCCTCATTCCTTGTAACACTCAATACAATGTAAACGCTGCCCACTGTGACATGTAGGGAATGATGACGAGGGGGAAAAGTCTGTACGTGTTCCATACAGATGCATATGCTTTTAGTATTTTTCACCTGCAGTTTGTGGATTCCATGAACACACAACTGCAGATACAGAGGCTTCTTTTTTTAGTAAAGATTGCACAAGCCAGGCACAGTGGTGCACACCTGTGGTCCCAGCTGCTCTGGAGGCAGAGGCAGGAGGATAGCTTGAGCCCGTAAGTTAGAGGCCAGTCCGGGCAGTCGCGAGACTCCCCGTCTCAAAGAAAATCGGTATTTTTTTAAATTTCACAGAAAATAGATAAATCAAAAGAAGAATCTAAAGCTTGTCCATCAGCTTACCCTCTGAGAAGAATGTTATTTACATTTTGGTGTATTTCCTTCCTTTTTTTCATACATCCACATATGAAAAAATTTTTGAAGTTGAAACACTGTTTTCCTCTAAGCATGTTAAAAGCCCTTTCTTTGCCACGTGTCCTCGGACAGCATGGTCTCGGTGGCTGCGTGGCGCTCCATGATGTGAAAGCCGTAATTCAGCCACCTGCCCAGACCTGGGTGTTTCTGTCCCCAAGCTATCCTAAGCAGTGCCAGAGTAAATAGTCGTAAAGTTAAATCTTTGCAACGCTCTTGATTATTATCCCTTTAGAATAAATTGCTGGGAGAGAAACTGCTGCGGCAGAAGGTCACGGGCCTTTTAAGTCACCCCGGACTTTTAGGGGGACCGCTTGGCGCCTCCGGCAGGACCTAAAGCCCAGGAGCTTCTTGCACGTGGGTGATGGGGACGGGTCCCGCGCCCTCCATCCCTGTGTCTAATGGGAACCGTGAGCAGCCGCACTGTCCTCCACTGTGATACCGCATCCACAGAGTGGCCGGCACTGACCACGGGTGACCGCCCCACCTGCCGGGTCTTGTGTGGACAGGGAGGCGACCCCCAGAGCAGCCGACTGCTTTCCTTCCATCTTCCCACTACTTCTCATCAGAGGGACAGTCCTCCCTCCCAGCCCGGACCCTGTGGCGAGCGCCGTGCGATGGTCACCTTTCCTCTCCCCCCGCCCCTCCGTGGGGCCGGTCCTTTGCGGGTCCAGGCTGCCCCCCCCCCGGGGCTGGCTGCCTGCAGAGTCCAGGAGCGTCACCTCCCCGTCTGGGCCCGCAGCCCGGGGAAGGCGCACCCTGCAGCAGTGGCCTCCGGGAGTGACCGCCCGCCCGCCCTGCTGACGCGGTGCCCGTGGTCCTGTCGCCAGGTGTTCCGCAGCAAGGCCATCCAGCTCGGGGAGAAGCTGCTGCCCGCCTTCAACACCCCCACGGGGATCCCCAAGAGCGTCGTGAACTTCAAAAGGTAGGACGCCCTGCCCTTGCCCACGCTGGGCCTTAGGTGCCGCGGCAGCTCGCCCACAGTCTGAGCCTTGTCTGGGGGGCAGTCTCCGGGGTGGCCTCTGGGCAGTTGGCAGACAGAGGGAAGTGGGTCCCTGGCCGTCCCCTGTGTCCCATCTGTTCTTCACAGATGTGGAACCTGAGGCCCAGGGAGAGGGCAGTGCCAGTCTTGGAAGTCAAAGGAGTCAGGGGCCCGGTGACATCTACCTTGACCAAGGACTTTCCTGGGCAGGTGTCTGTCACCCAGCCTGGTGCTCAGGCTCAGGCCGCCCGGAGCTGACCTCTCCCAGCCGTCTCCAGGTCGGCCGGACCCTCGCTGCACCTCATCCCCCTCCC